AACAATCAAGGGGAACACGACCCCATCGCGGAAAAATGATCACTCTTTAAACCTACACCAACCATGTACTCCATCCTGTCGTTGCCAACCAAAGGAGCATTTTTGAAACCTACAAGACGCCACAAACTTGTTATGTTATTAAGAAACTTTGTTTCCCACACTGTCAAGCCAAAGGATTAAGAGGACAAGGCCTCATCTCACATACCATACTGGCCCATGAGCACCCCCGACAAAACAAACGGTCGAGGAAACAAGGCCCCAACTCATGAACGACACATGCAAGCCAAACGATCAAATGAACAAGGCACCGGCCCGTGAATGACACCGGTATGTATTGTCATTGGCTTGAGTATATTCTAGATCCATTATCATTGATATATTAGAGGGCAATTCAATAGTTTTTGTAATTCTAGGTCGAGTATCGTGTTTTGTATGTTGTTGTCGGGGAATTCTTTCATTTACGAAATATGAACAGGCATAAGAATATATTAGTGATGATTTCCTTAAATCAAAGAACAAAAGCTCGGGGTTCAAGAATAATCAATCATCGTCTTACTCACCATAAACGATGTTAACTGTATATATGAGTATGTTGTTTTTAGGACTCTATTGACATCTTATGAGAAATCAAAGTATAACTGGTGGACATTTTCCTTATAAGCATAAGTCATCAGCCTTGTTGATCATGTGTGTTTCCGTAGTTTGTGAATTACGACCCAATCACTGGGTTTTATTATTGCAAGGCCCTTTATCCATGTTAAATTTGTGTCTATCTGATTTCATTTTAGTGAGATATGTATAATAACGACACCGAAGCTTTTTTGGTTCGGCTAACCCAAGGCCACATGTTGTTGAAAAATATCTTTGTATGTGATAGCCATTGGAATAAGATGAAACATCTTTAAATAATCTAACAAATATTATCAGTCATTTCAGGATACATGAAATCAGGAATATGCAAAAAGCTTGAAATATCTAAAGACCTGAAAATTTGTTGTGTAGTACATAAAAGAGTTCAAGTGAAAATAATCAAAGAACAAATAATTATTCAAAATAAGAAACACTACTCAAGGATCATATTACTAAAAAATATGTTAAGTAGGGACCAAAACTGCCAAAAATCCAAAGTTTTAAGGAACAAAATGCTAAGAATTTGTAAGGTCGTGAACTAAAATTATCAAAAACCCAAACTTAGGGCCAAAACCCATCTAAATCGGGCATCAGATGCTTCTAATCGGATCACCATAGACTTTTCTCAATATTGTTTAAGTTTTTCCAATATCATAAAATGGTTCACTGATGAAAATAGGCTAGCGACCAAGTTCACAGATGAATGAAATCCAAGTCGTGATTTGCATTTTCTCGGTGAAACCAGATTACGACTAAGAACACCAAGTGACTAGATCACCCCAACCCGATGAAACCTAGCCAAAATCACATCTTGCTAGATAACTCAAAACAATGCACATTTTCTCGATCATATTTTTTTACCCAATAAATCGATGATTTTGAACAACTATGCTTCAATAAGTTTTTGCCAATTCAAAAGTATAAATCTGGCTAAGCCTAGACCAGATCACTCGGTCGGCCAAGCCCGATGAAACCTAGCCATAATCACCTTTTGCCCGATAACTTGAAATCCATGCACATTTCTTGATCATGAAAGGAATTTTACCTGATAAATCGATATATTTGAACAACTTTGTTTCAATAAGATTTTGTCAATTCGAAAATACATGCCCGTCTAAGTTTAGACTAGATCGCCCAACCCCAACAAACCTACCCAAAATCATTTTTTGCCTGGTAACTTGAAATCCGTGCACATTTTCTCGATATCGAAAGAAATTTTACACAATAAATCGATGATTTTAAATAGCTTCGCTTCATTGAGTTTTTGCCAATTTGAAAACTCGATAATTGCTTTCAAAAACTATATAAATTATAACCAGTTTTTATTATGTAATATTATAAGAAACTTGCTTCTCTAATGAGTTTGCAAGGCATAATATTTGAATAAAATGGCTTAATGATACCATTAAAGTCATTTTGTAAATTCACTTTTTTATTAATGCTTGTATAAATAAAATGATTGAACGAATAATAATGTTTGT